TGCTGCGTCGGGCCTGCGTGGCCGGCGTCTGGGGGCGGGCCGAAAGCGACGTGCCCTTCTTTCCCTTCATCGCGGGACAGCCCTTTAAGGTAGGGTCTTTTTTTCTCGATGGGGCGGGGCTGACGGACGGGTTGACAAAGCGCGCGTGCTGTGCTCGCTCGCTTGTGTCCAGATGGAAGTGGAGTGCTTGTCGGGCGGCTTCCGGGTCTTCGTGGACGCGCAGAAACTTTTCGACTTCCAGCACCGGTTGGCGCCGCTGCACTTGGTGGACACGCTGTGGATCAAAGGCGGCGTCACCATCACCAAGCTGGGCTGACGGCGGACCGTCACCACGGCGACGGCCCCTCCGCTCGACCCGTTTGGGTCACCCGCCGCCTTGACCTTACGTTGTGACCTCGGGCGCCCATGCTTGGTGGCTACGTGCTAGCGTGGTTTCGAGCTCATTCTGGCTGACGGTGACATCTTCCACCACGAAAATGGAGAATTCCATGAGCCCATTCCAGCCGCACCCCCCCCTCCCAAAAAAAAAAAAATTTTGCCATCTTGAGCTCTTTAGCAGTGATTAGTTCAATGGTCCCACCTCCAAAAATGCCCAACGTAGCTCCGAGAACCGATTGGTCGGAAAATGAAGGAAGGAATAAAAATAACGTGTCCTTTAACGCCAATGACAACAGGGATGTAACATTTTTTTGACGATACTTTTGGTCTTTTTTTTAGTTTTGCTTTTTAATGACCCAACATTCAGCCGATTTTCTTTTTTGCCGGCGGCGGCGTCGCTGCTGTCAATCAGAGCGATCACCGCTTCAAGACCGTGTGACGAAGATCATCGTCACATTTTATTCTGTGTGCTCAGCTCACGGGTTGGTTGTTCCTCTTTTTCCTGACTCGACGCGCCCCCCACCCCCCTTTTAACTTTATTCTGAAATGTGCACATTTTACAAAAAGAGCTAAATGAATGAACAAAATAGGAATATACAACATAACAATGCAAACAACTACAACATCCCAAGGGGGGGGGGAAAGAATTTCCCCAAAAGTACTGTCGCAGATTTTTTTTTGACTCGCGCATGCGCAAGGCAACACCGCGTGGCATTATGGGAAAATGCTACGTTGAGAGCATTTTAGCCCACAAGTACCACAGGCAAATGTGGGAACCCACACACAAAAAAAAAAACAAACAAAAACACTTTTCGAGCTCTCTTTTAAAGTCGTACTGTAATCGTGTATTGGTGGTCTCCACCTCAAAAAGAGGTTTTGACTGGTGACATTTGGATTTGTGGATCTGGAATTTTGCCGAAATTATTCTTAAATGAATCCTACATATAAATTGTACAAAAAAGTGCACTTTTGCGAAAAGAAAAACTTTTTGCCGACTCGGCGCTTGTTGTTTTCCGGCCTTTTTCGGAGGA